AAAGAAGTAGTCAAGGTCTTCTTTCGCTGAACCATTGAATATCATAGGGCAAATTTGTCTCTATCACAGGGGCCAGCAGCTGCAGAGATATCTTCAGCTGCTTCTAAACCAACACGTGGCTGAAACATCCATGATTTCAGATGCATGGTTTGTTGTTGGCACTCAGAACCCTCTACATTCAAGAAATACTCATTCTGTTGTTAAGTGATAGAAATGAGAACTTTTTTCCAGTTCTGGATTGTCACAGAGTTCTCTATAGTGGCTCCAGCAGCATGTCCCTCCTTACATAAAAGCTCCTTTGTGGGGTCCATTTCACCATCCTCTCTCTCCAGCAAGGCAGTCCTCTTGGCACTTTGTCCTCTGTTGTCACAGATAAAATAACTAGAAATGGGGTTTGACTACTCTGGTTACAGTATGCATTTTCTGTAAAGACCTCTATTTATTCTCATGATCATCAATTTGCAAGTCACGACATCCATCTTCAATCACATACACTTTTTATTAGCAAAATGTAAGACTACAAAGTAGAACCTGATTAGAAGTTCTAATTTATGATTCTCTTTCCTAAGTTTGTGGTTTGATTCAGGTTGTAGATAATAATAACTTCTAATCGGAGTAAGCTATGTACTTAGAATAAAACTAAAAATTAACCTGGCCATCAGTATTCAATTGGAAATAGCTATTTCAAAGATATACTGGAATTCGAAATTTAGTGATTAGCAAAAGTGTAAAAAAAAAAGGAAAAAACCGCTTGCTAAGAAATACAGACTTACACAGTAACAAATCCCATGATTACATCAGAATTACATCCTTGCTCCATAGTATTCTCAAGTGCACTGATACCTGTTGGTAAGAGTAATTATTACAATAACTGAGCTATGACAGAAATTGGTTTTCAGAGTTAAAATTAAGTTTAACTTATAAATAGAAAAATACCAATGAAAAAAGTCAATAGTTTCTATGAAGGATGTGGGTGGCAGGATCTTTACCACCACCTCACTGCAGCTCCTGTAGATTCAACTTCACTAACATGTTTTTTTCTTAGAATATTGTGAATGATGAGATCTACAGTGTGATATTAGTTTTATTTTACAAGATAATTTTTGAAAATGGTCAGTGACAGAAATTACAGTAATAGGGATCGTGATGAAACAAAATGGCGGCCATAGAAAACGCCCGTTTAAAACCACCTTTAAAATGTCTGAATATAAAAAATGACTATTTCACAGTATTGGCTGAGCTAATGGTATTTATAGTGAGGCCTAATTCAATTTATATATATATATATATATATATATATATATATAGTTGTTCGTGTAGTAATACTAAACTTTACTACTTACTTACTAACGACTATTAAGT